TGTGACGTCATCATGACGTCATCAGGTATCAACTTACAACGATTTAAGGGCAGGCTTTGACAAAATACTCTTAACTCTTAACAGTGTCGTTATCGTTTTTCGTGAGGTGGTAGACGGTGCCTTTAGCAACATTTTCTTCCCGGTCACAAAACCGCTTGACCTTCACTTCAGGTGTTATTGGAAGTGCAATAAAAATTGAATTTAAATGGAAGCATTTTAGTACAGACAAGTAATTTGTGAAATTCAGTGTTTAGTGAGAAATGCCAAACACCAAGAAAAAATGATGGCGATATCACCGAAAAGGGCGCCCTTTAGTGGCACATAAAATAGAGATTGACTTTTTAAATTTAAAAACCATTTGTTAAACTTTTAAGAAATTGCCCCTCATTTGCTGACCAACGGACCGTCACAAGCACTACTAGTCACGAGACCAGGAAGCTACCCCAAGATCGCTAGATCAAGAAACACCGGTACGCAGTCGTTGGAGTATTATGTATATTATATCAATTGTGAATGAGGGTTGAGGAATTTGGTTGAGGAAACAAAGACAAAAATTTGCGTTGAAATATGAACAAATATTGTATCACATCAAGAAATGCTTCACATTAGCTTTGTTCTGAGTGTTGGTCAGTTCATCTATTAGGGTGACTACCGAGGGTCAAACTTTCGGGGTGGGCCTATCCAACCGATGTGACATCGAATGAAACATCGAATGAGACCGCTGACCACGTTTAGTTTTCAAACAATCACTTTACAGAGGTCAAATTATTTGGTGCCCGACAATAATTCAGTTCTTGCAGGGTAGAATGGCCCCGTTCCCCATCGGACTCGATAATGCCAGTATACCGACAGGGAGGATTTGTTAGGGGGCAAGACAAAAATCTAAATAAAATCCAGTTTTTATGAGGGTTGCACTTTTTCGTTGTTATGCTGCATAAAAGTTAAATATTCGTTATTGTCAACGTGATAACCTGCACTTAGCTATGACTAAATATGAAATGTTAAAACGAAGGCCTACCTTTCAAAATGGGGATGATATGACCAAGCCTTCCTACAAAATCTCAGTTGTCCCGACAAACGAACTCCAAAGACCTCAGGTCCGGATGAGTCCGAATGACCTCGAGTTTAACGAGCTAAAGTCAAGGCGTGCTCAGGTACAGACGAGCTCAAGTCCGATTTGAAGTCCGAATGACCTCGAGTTTACTAGCTAAAGTCTAGGCGTGCTCGATCAGGTACAAACGGGCTCAAGTCCGAGTTGAAGTCCGAATGACCTGAAGTTTATACTAGCTAAGGTCCAGACGTGCTCATGTACAAGCGATCTCAAATCCGAATGAGCTGAATTCAAAGACAAGCTGGGTCAAAAACATGAACCTTACTACGTAACGGCGTCGCTGCTGAACGCTTCGTGCGTTCTCAATTATCACTCTTGTACAGTGTGCGTTGTGTAACATTATCTATGGCGTGATCTGCAAAATCGTTGTTACCTAATACACCTGCATTTATTATCATTTGTTTGAAAATTTTGATTTATGAAAAAGCCGCCTCAATCAATTTACTTCCAAATTTCCAATCAATTTGTTTTATCTACGTGGGCAGCTATCCCTTAGGATGGGGATGAGACGATATGGCCACTCCAATTTCAATTGATTCATTTTCGTTTTACTTTTTCATCCGGGACGCAATATTTTACACCTCCACATACAGTTTTCTGTGTAATAACTCAAAGTAAAAATCAAACGCTAAAATACATGACCATGCCTTACAATATCGTTCTCGGAGTCTATAAACTTCATTTCAACGTGCATTGAACACGAATGTAATAAGCTACGCTGATAGTGATGTGAAGTTTGCGTTTCCTAAAAAAATATGAAGATAAAATTTGAAAATATGAAACGTAAAAGCTGTTACGGTTACCAAAAAGTAACGGCTTTAAGAGCACCTGATTTTATCACTGTAAACAGCCACGTGTCACTCGACTCATTTTTGGACTATTTTTCATGAGTCACATTTAACGTGCCCTCAAATATATTTATATCGTCACCAGTTTCACGAAGGGACAGGCATGTAAATTCGGATGGAAAACACCTTTCGGGATAATCGCAAGAGAAGATTTCTTATTAACGAATTGCAAAATGTACCACAACGCATCTACTCTATGTAAATAAAACGCCCATATCATTCCAAGAGATCTCGAACTTCCTAGTGAACCCATTAATAATCACTTTTCTTGGCAAAGTATGGAAATCAAGCTGGTTGGCTGCATCTATGGCCAAGTTCGGGCAAGGACCATTAGTCGACTAGTGGTTGATTTGTGACGTACCTTACACCTGCGCACTAATAGCAAAGTGCGAACGTCTCTAGTCGAACGCTGGTCAAAATGTCATTGCAAAACGTCTGGATCCTGGCTCCCTGCTGTACGTTATGAACGCGCGCGGCTATGGTTACCAGCGATGCAACCAGCCCCGGTAGGTTGGTTCCAAATAGTCGACTAGCGTAGTTAACCATCGTCGACTAGACAGAGTTCGGGCAAGGGTTAGTCGACCAACGGTTAACTATAGTCCTTGCGCGAACTTGCCCTATTGTGTCCGTGTACGTGTTCTACATAACCTACGAGTACCGACACACAAAGGGAGAACAAAAGATCCTTTCAGTCCTCGGGCGTTGGGTCTTCTGTTGGAAACGGTCCTCTGTAGTAAGTTTGTGTGCTTGTCTCCGGTAGAGTGTTATATTACAGGGACAAAGGGAAACACAAAGCATTGTCCTCGAGAGTATAGTAAAACATGAATGCGTGCCCCGTGCGTGTATAGACAAGGTCGTCATCTGATGTTTGGGATGGAGACAACGGCTTGACCCGTTCGAGAGCAACTGGCTGTCCATGCAGAAAGATTATTAAAACAGCAAGATGAAAAACGGTGTTTAAAATATGTTCTGACTTGTTTTATAGTAGCAAGGCCTGGTATATGGCTGAATTTAGGCTCATACTATTTTATTGCCCTGCCAAAAAAAACCGGGTCCGTTTGAAAAAAAAAAAACCATCGCAAGTCATGTCGATGAAAATAGTCCACTTCTCTATTCGTAGACAATTCCCAAAACATTTGAATTGGCACGGAATGTCTACCATCGCTAGCGTGCGACCTTTTCTTTTCTGTCAATTTTTTTCAGTGGCCATCCCCACTGAAAGCCCTTCACTCAGGTTAGCACAAAAAACAAAAATTTGATTACAAAACCCTTTTTTTGAACCCGCAACCTCGCGGTGCAAAATTTTGACCCTATATCGACTGAGCTATCGCACTATTAACCAAATCGTGGGGAAAAAAATAATTATACACCTGCGTACGTATCATAAAAGCATCGTAGAGGGCGCTAAACAACCATGTACGCGGATGTAGTTTGGGAAAAGAAAATTCGTGCCCTGGCCATCCCTGGATGTATTTGGTACAGTCCTTGAAGCGCTCCTGGTCTTGAAGAATGAGCCAAGCAACTTATGGTTTGTGATTGCCGAAAGAAACAAATTATAGATCAACATGATCATGTGGCCGGCATGTCGCAGATAGGAAGGGTTGGTCCACAAGGATAGAAGAGATGTGACAACGTAATTTCTCTTCTATTTGCGTCACGTCATCTTAGATCTTTTTGCATATGAGATGTTCTCCTTTGGATGGGGCCAACATAACTTGACGAGCCTTCGCCCGGGGTTGATGCCCCGGGGTTGACTGGGCATCAGGACTTACTCCCTTGTATCTTTTGTGCGGCATTTTCTCTCATCATTTTAATGCCTTCCTTCAACTTCCCTTCTGTTGGTATTGTTTATGTTTTGCAGCAAAGAACATTCTAAATTAAAAAGGAAAAGTTTCATTGATTGAACGCTTGTTTTGTGTACATGAGTTAGATATTTCAATATGGTTACAGTCCGATAGTTCAAAGCTTCAATAGTCCGAAGGTTCTTTAGTCCGAAGGGTCATTAATCCGAAGGTTTGTTTAGTCCAAAGGTTCGATAGTCCAAAGGTTCGATTATCTGAAGGTTCGAAAGTCCAAAAACAGAATAAGGTTAATTAATCCGAAGGCTCGATAGTCCGAATAGACAATAGGGTGCGATAGTCGACAATAAGGTCCGATAGTCCGAATAGATGATAAGGTTCGATAATCCGAATTAACAATACGGTTCATCAGTCTGACACTTCGGACTATCGGACCTTATTGTCGATTCGGACTATCGGACCTTTTTCTTCGGACCGTTATCGCGCACTAAAGGAATAAAAATGTGCTTGGCCTGTTTTAAACAAGTCCGTTTACGACGGGCTGGAGAAATGGCCCGAGCTGAAGGCGAGGGTTATTATTGGCGTGATGATCACAACATCCAATTTGTAAACAAAATGGTCTATTATGTTTACCTACAATGTACCTATTACGATCGCATTTTCCTGAATTTCATGTACTTTTTAAAGTTGTGACGTCCATTCATGACTTGTTCATTTACATTAGATTATTTATTTTCTATTATCTAAGCCATGCATTAATCCGTGACGTATTTTTTTTTTTATTTCCCGTCACTATAATGTCCCTTCTTCTTGTTCTCCATTGTTTAATAGTATTGATGGTTGATGTTTGTGTGCTGTTAATAAGTTCTTGTCTAAATTTGGCGATTCCTCTCCTTGACATTTTGTGGTTTAATTTCCATAGTTCATTCATATATTACATAGTTCATTTAAACTTGACCTTTTAGAAGTTTATGAAATACCGGTAATACATATTTAAAAATGAATGATTTTTTTTTACTAAAGGATATGTTATAATATTAATTTGCATCATCTCTTAATTTATTTTATTTTCAATGCACATGTGTATGTGTATTGTGTTGATATTTAACTAACTCAAGTCATTTTAGCAAAGGCTGGCCAGAGTGGATTTAAAGGCTGATGCAGTGTTTTAAGTACTACGTTAAACCGTGAGTTTATCTATACCTGTACCGTATTTGAATACAATTTATTCTCATTTAATAGCACCTAATAGGTATAATAGTCGAGATATGGAAAGATCTAAACTTGGTGTCTTCGCAACCATTGCAGTCTTCATACAATACTTTATCAATGCCATGGTCGTGAAATCGCTCGGCATTCTTCTTGTGTCCATGATGAATGAGTTTGAAGCAGAAACCTGGGTCGTTGGCACGGTCTTTTCCCTCGTCGAGTGCGGTAAGGATATATTTGGTAAGTTTATTCTCCAACGATAAAAAAAACACAACACTTGACGGTATCGCGCACTAATTAATAAGGGAATAATTATGTGCTTGGCCTGTTTCAAACAAGCTCGTTTTAAGACCGGCTGGGGAATTGACGTTGATAATAGCCCAAGCTGAAGGCGAGGGATATTATTGGCGACCAGGCCCAAGCCGGTCTTAAACGGACTTGTTTAAAACCCGTCAAGCACATATTTATTCCCATTCATTACTACTTTTTCGGTCAAAGAGTCAAAACAAGTCTACAAATATAAATTCCAACGATTTTGCTCAATAGAGTTACTCCATGTTTTTTGAAACACCCCTCCAGCTATTTTATGGTAAGTGCCTCTCGCGAGTAGTCGTTACAAACTCCTTACTGGTACGCGCGTGGCGAACGTGGCGCAGAATGTAGCTGTGTCGGTGCAGAGTATTAAGGACTATGAAATACATGACTCGTACTACTCATTGGTAGTATTGCGCATGCCAAAGTGATGATTGTCAACATTCAACTGATAAAAGGCTAAAAGGGACCTGATTTCATAGGTAAGGAGTCCAAATATCATACGACACCAGAAAAGTGTTTAAGACCAGCCAGCCAGTGTTTTATCAACCGTTTAAGACCGGCAACTTGACGGCCTCTCGACCAATAGGAATGGTAACTGTCTTAGGTATTTGTGAATACGTTTCCTTTACCCTAATGAACCACCGCATGTATTTTTGTAATGGTTTATGGGTATTGAAATTGGTATTGTGTATGATCGGTTCGTGACACAGGTTTTTGTTTATATCACTGGTTATTTAAAAAGTCTGTGTTGACGAGAAAAAAGTTACCGAGTTGTTGATGTTTGGTGATATTGATTGCAGGTCCTCTGGCGGCACCGATTGGACGGAAGTTTGGAGCGCGTGCCGTTGTCATGGTAGCTGGTGGTATGATCGGCTTGGGATTCATCTTGACCTCACGAGCCTCTAACGTCTTGCAGATGGCACTCCCACTTATTCTGCTAATAGGTAAATCGCTCAGTAAGATTTGCACAGCTGTTGTCAGTTTTGAGCAAGTTCAATCGAAGACTATATTGGTCGACTTATGGTGACGTGACTTACGCCTGCGCATGTAACGTGCCAATGTCTCTAATCAAACGATGGTCAAAACCTTATCACAAAACTTCTTGGTCTTGCCTCCCTGCGATGCGACCATCCTTGGACAGTCCACTAGACTAGTAGTCGACCAAAGTAGGTTCTCGCTGGAACTTGCTCAAGGTTGTCAAATTCACAATGTACAGGGTGAGTCAAAAAAAAGCGGAACCCAAACCCCACAAAATGTATTTCATATTTAATAAAATATGAAGCACCAAAAATAATAATGACTGGAAAGCCAATTTCAAAAGCTACTTTTAGATAAAAAAAAATTACTGAAATTGCTCAATCCGTTCAAAGAATATCACCATTTAAACGCAATGACCATTAAACCTGTTTCGTCCAAAAATCAATTTATTGTGTGTTTTGACTGTTTGGAACAACAAAGAAAATGACACAGAATACTTGTTTCAACAACTGTCACCAACTGTAGCACACAATATTTTGATTAACAACCCTGGTTAGGCAAACAAAATGATTTATAAAATCTACTTTTTAAAAAGTCGGGCCTTCAAAAGGACGTTGTTGCATATTGTTAACGTTTAAACTAAGATTTCATCGCTAGTGATGTTTGAAGACAAAAGTGACGACGATTCTTGAAATCGCATTTTTGGACGAGACAGGTTTTAGGGTCTTTGTGTTTAAATGGTGATATTTTTTTAACGCATTGACCAATTTCAGTATTTTTTCATCCAAAAGTAGCTTATGAAATTGGCTTTCCAGTCATAATTATTTTTGGTGCTGCATTTTTTTTTAAATATGAAATATAATTTTTGGGGTTTGGGTTCCGGTTTTTTTACTCACCCTGTAGTATCTGGCTCGCTGGGAAAAAAATGAAAACGTATGATCCTTGATGCCATCATTTTGGCAAACACATTTGTCCCATTAAAAATGTTAAAGGTAGTGTCACTGGGGAAATAGTCATGTAAACACCTGTCTGTTCTGGACTGCCCGGGGACAGATAGTTGGGGGATCCACAAAAGGCAAACAGCGTCGTGCAAAATTCGTTGATACACTCCAAACGCTACTGTACAATATTTTGTCAGAAGCGAAGGCTGTTCTGAAAATCCTTAAATTCTCCTGAAAGGCTTGTGAGTAGTATACCATAACGAGTTTCAAGTTACAACTGGATTGTAGCCTTTTAGACAGCCCTGATTTAAATTTGTGGTAACGAACATTCCTTCTTTGCTGTCACTTGATCGTGGCATTGTTCCTAATAAAATTAGTGTTTAATTGTCTTCTTAATTTTGATATCTTCAGCTTTAGGGCAGTGTTTAGCCAACGTTCTGACCCGTTCTTCCCTCGGTGAGCATTTCGATGTGAAGGATTTTGCACTAGCGTCAGGGGTCGCCAGGATAGGTTCCTCTCTTAGTCTCGTCTGTCTACCGCCTCTGGTACAGCTATTCCTCAACACCTATGGTTGGAGAGGAGCCATGCTCCTGGTCGGATCGATTGGTACCCATCTCACTGTAAGCGGTGCCCTATTAAAACCTGTACCGAAGTGGTCCGAAGCAAGAGTCGGCTACCAGTCGCTTCCTGATTCTTCCCGTCATCAGCCCCGACCAGTTCACAAACCAGATAAACATACCGACTGTACTCTTACGTCATTCAGATCTTTTTTGGAGAAAAGCTGGGGAGCTTTGGACATTTCATTGATGAAGAGCCTAACCTTTTTGGAGATTACTCTAATTGTCGTGACTACTCGAATCAGCCAATCAGCGTGGTATATCTATTTTGTTCCACGCGTTGTTGCCATTGGGTTCTCCAACGAAGAAGCCGCGGGCATGGTATCGGTTGCAGCGGTGTTTCAGCTGGTCACCTTCACGCTCGGAGGCATAGCTTTGTATAAAGAGAAGATGACGAGTTCCAGCGCTATGATGGTGAGTGTCGGTCTGGTTGCCGTCTCCTTTCTGATTGACCCCTGGGTGACGTCATGGTGGTCCGTGTCAGCCAACGCCGCCCTCTTTGTCTCAAGTATGGGTATGGTGTTCACCATGGTCGACTTCATGGTGAAAGAGTTGCTCGGGGTCGACAAGATGGCGGACGCCTTTGGCTGGATGGGATTCCTGTCTGGGTTAATTCGACCTCTCGCCGGATTTATTCCAGGTAAGAACTGTGTTGATGTCCAATTTCTTGGAGCTGGTAAACACAACATTATTGCTTAGCAGATTTAGGCCTGTGCTAAGGTGTGCTATTAAGCCAGACTGGGAGCTCGAGTGCTGAAACGTGGCAAAACGAAATCTGGCTGACAAACTTTTCCAAAAATGGTCTTGAGGCAAAGACAAAGTCCTTCACCAACCAACTAAAATTTGAAACTCAATTCAATTGTATGCAGTACTGAAGAGTTGTTGGACTGGTTGTTTCAGGTGCCAGTCTATTTTCTTGTTTTGCATGTTTTCAATACCTTAAGTTTTGGGACTCTCATACACGATATTGAGAGTCCCAGATTTTCAGACTAGTGCTAGGCATGGTGTAGCTGAGAACCAGCCCCTAATTAATTCCATTGAATGAGATTCGTTTAGTAACATGTTTTTGCAGAGCAAATATGTTCAATACCTAGCAAATTTCTGTCCCTATAGCAGCTTCATAAAAACAGCCCAAGTGATGATCATGATCAATATCATTTTACGGAAATAGTACCTTATTAGGCCCTGTCACACTGTCACGCTCTGGCATGGAGATCGTACTGCGACCAAGAAACTTGATTAAAACGCGGTGGGAACGCAGATGACGGTGTGTTGACTCATTGATACTAGTTGAGGACTTCAGAGGAACTCCAAGAACTTCGCTGAACGGCCGTGACGTAATGGCAACGCGCAGGCGCAGACGGGCGCGACGTCGCGAGAACTCAACAGACGTGCATATGGAGATCAATGTGCATGCATCAGGACAGCGCGTCTCCTCTGCGTCTACTGCGTCTATGCAGTTCAAAATCAACTTCGTGTCCCCCTGGGTACGATCTTGCAGCGCCATGTTGTTTCCCATCATGCCTTGCGCGAGTGTAAGGAATGAGCACGCGCCCCTGGAGTCGAGGCTGGTTCAAAATGTGAAGACCATTGATCTCCATATATATCTGTGTATATGGAGATCAATGGTGAAGACTCAATGACAATCGCCCATTTTGGCCCGAGTATTAATTAATACACGCCGCGCGTCTGGCTGCTGACGTCACACGTACGTTTAAGGTCGCAATATGCATGAATCATTGATGAACGCAATATGAACGTCATGCATGGACGTGGCAGTGTGACAGGGCCTTTAAGATGGCATCCCCATGGGGTTGTGCACACATTTTCGCAACTTTACTTTGACCCCTAGTACCCCAATTTTCCCTATATCCTACCCCAAGAATTCTGGCTTAGCCTACATGTATTTCTGTTTTGGACCACGAGCAATCGATCTAGCCTGTTTTGCGACACTAAAATTTGCCCCTAAATTTGAGTTATGCTATTAGGGAGACATTGAAACGTCTCTCTTATGTCCGATGTCTTCCTGTGGTATACCTAATGATAAAAAGTCTCCTGACGGGTACATTAACAGGAAGTATGATTTTATCTTGCTAGTGACGATTATAGTTCATTTTTGTCGCAGCTCAAATCAGGAAGAATTTTATATTTTCACCTTCGATAATGATGTCCTAATGGATTTATAGACTCCGTTGATATTTGCATACATTGTATCATCATCCCCTTTTCAGGCTGGATCTATGACCACACTGGTAGCTACGACACGGCCTTCGTCATTCTGGGGGTCATCCAAATCACAGCACTGATTCCACTTCTCATTAAAAGACTAAAAAACATGTGGCCTTTAAATGCCAATTGACGTATAGCCAACACAACCGAAAGACTAGATATGAAAGGCTAATCAGAAAGACAGGCATAATCCTTCCGTTCTCCTGCTCTTCAACAAATCGATCTTTTTTTGTCCTCATGAATTTCGACCTTTTAAAAGTATTTTATTTTAACGCAATGCTGCTGTTCTCTGTCTTAAAATCTGCAAGTATCTGCTTTTATTTTGGCTTGCTGTTAGGCAAGTTGTCTAGTTCTCAGGCAATGTAGCGTGAATATCCGACTCCATGAAATAATGGACTCATTGGTAGTATTGCGCAGGCGTAAAGTACAATAATATGCCATTTGTAGGATCTAAGGCTGCATCCGAATCAGTTGTCTAGAGCTAGGTCTAGGTCTGCGCCCATTGAAAATACGCGGGGACGCGCTGACAATAGACGTAGCCGTAGCTCTGGAAGCCCGTTTCGGACACGGCCTATATATGGGAGAGTGTCATTTCACGTGCGAGGGATAAACCAATAATAGGGAAGGAGTCCCATTTTCAAAGGAGTCGGATTTTCATATGACATGGGTCGCTCCATTACACTAATGGGGGCGGGAACCGAAATCATGTCGGACCACAGTTGTTAAAAATTCTTTAAAAAATATAACGTTAATATAAATATAAATAAATGTAATAAAATATAATTCGGGCTTGTGTATTTACGATAAACGTGAAGACAGACGGTATACAGTCGGAAGACAGACAGTCTAGAGTCCATTCTAATCATGTTAACTTATACTCAATTTTTGATCAAAGAGTTATACGTGTTACTGCAAAATGTTACTAGAAATGCTGTACCTGAAATTGTTTTACTTTTTATTAAATTAAATAATTGCAAATGTTACTTATCAGTATCAGCTGTTTTATTGGTAAATTTGGCTGCCATGTTTTTTTAGTATACATTGTACAAGTCTTGTTTTGCATAATTAATCGCCGAACCTGCTCGCATATTGTAGATCCTTGCTGTGTAAGGGGCTATTGCGTAGACAATCACACAGCAACCTTTGACCTTAATTTTTTTAGAATGCCAGTAAAATACGTCACAGGGTGCAGACCAGTAAATAGGCCCAAAATTACCCATGTACTGTCGGCCAAATCACGATTTGCATTCCCTCAAATTCTTCAGTATTAGAGCATTTTGTGGGCCATGAAGGGTGGCAGCCGTGCACAGGACTGTGAGTTTGTATTTCTGTGAAATTTTGGATGAAATTGGGCCCTAAAAGCGCTCTACTTTGCAATGGAGCGTAGGCATCGTTTTTCAAAATGGCGATTCATGACTATTTTAAAAGGGTGATATCGATCATCTTCGGATGGAGATTTCTCCCAAAAGACATCGGATTACCCCAAAAAACTGAATGATGAAAAAAATGTAATGATGCTGAAAGAAGCTTTAATTTGATGTGTGTCTCGAACACCTCAGAGAGTTGTGAACATTTTTCCTGCGTTTGTGAAGTTTTTATCATTGGGGTCTATGGCAGTTTATTTACTGGTCTCAAACCCACAGCGTTCGATTAGCCTCATTTCGTGATCTAAGGAGAAGTATAAGGAGAAGCTAATCAAAGTCACACGCACCCGGCCATTATGAAATGGCGACTGAACAATAATGAGACTATCTCCTAATGAGCTGCATTTTTTTCTGATCAGGGCCGGATTAAGTGTTCCGTAGGCCCTAGGCGCCAGTGTTCCGTAGGCCCTATTCCGCAGGAACCAGCACAATTTCATGTACTATAAGCTGTACTAAGCAAGCCAGTCCAAACTGGTAGCTCATAAAGCCTGTTGGCACACAGTGGTATGTTTCGTAGGCCCTCAATGTTTTTGGTAGGCCCCCGAAGTTTTCGTAGGCCCTTGGCACAGTGCCTACTGTGCCTATTGGACGATACGGGCCTGATTCTAATGAGGAGTAATAAGTCGTGTGCTATACGACTTATTACTCGTTTTCATACAGACAATCGACAGAGCATATAAGGCCAAGTTCGCGCAAGGACTATAGTTGACCAATGGTTAACTAACGTTTGCCCGAACTCTGTCTAGTCGACGGTGGTGGACTACGCTAGTCGACTATTTGGAACCAGCCTACTGGGGTTGGTTGCTTGACTGGTAACCAATAGCCGCGCGCATTCATAACGCTAGCAGAGAGCCAGGATCCAGAAGTTTTGAGATGACATTTTGACCAGCGTTTGACTAGAGACGTTCGCACGTTGCTATCAGTGCGCAGGCGTAAGGTACGTCACAAATCAACCACTAGTCGACCAATGGTATTTGCCCGAACTTGGCCTATTGTGCATGCAAGGTTTGTCCAGGATTGTCTTTTTGGCGCAATTGAGGGATATCGGATACTTATTAAACTGCTATACTCCCTGATAGGTTAGACCACGGATCCTACACACAAGGATTAACGACTCAGCCCAGGCGTGATATATGGTGTGTCAAACGTTGCAATATTCAATATTTTGCAATATATGTTGGATGTTCAATTTCTTTTACATTTATGTGCGATGTTCAATATAAGTGTGCGATGTTTTTTATTATTTGCGCGATGTTTAATATATTTGTGCGATGTTTTACAATATATGTGCGATGTTCAATATATGTGTGCGATGTTTTACATTTATATGCGATTTTCAATTTATATGTGCGATGTTTTTGACGATATATATGTGCGATGTTTTCAATATTATGTTCGATTTTTTGCATTAAATGTGCGATGTTTTTCGATACAATTGTGTGTGTTGTTTTAAATATATTTGCGATATTCTCAAATATGTGAGCAATGTTTTACATATATGTTTGACACTTCGAGCTATTTGTATTCGATGTTTCATCGGTATGTTTGCATTCGATGTTTCCCTTTTCATTCGATGTTTCGTGAAGAGTCAAAGTCTGGTTACTAGACCGCGAAAGTCTGACTATTTTGCCTAAAGTCAGTGTATGAGACGTCAGGGGATCGCGTAAAGTGATTAGAGCCAGACCTAAACGGTAAAAACCGGAATTGTGGGCAATTCTTTAAGCATACGCAATGCGTTCATCATTGTTTGGGCAGTACCCCCAGCTGTGCCTGTACTACCCATAGTGTTATGGGCATCATCTATGCATTGAGGAGTGCATGACACATGGTCTGAGGTCCAAGGCCGATGTGCACCTGTCCCGTTTAATGATCCAGTTACCTGATAATTTGTTAGCATAAGCTGGTGTAAAATTGGGCAAAATTAGATATTTACGAAAAAAATCAAATTGTAAGGGGTTAACCTTGCATTTTTTTAAAGCAAAATCGGGGAAAATCAGATGTTTCTGTAAAATTGCAGATTGTATGGGGTTAGATGTTTATGAAACATTTTTTTTTTATTAAACATTTCAAATTGTAAGGGGTGAACCTCGCATTTTTTTAAAGCAAAAATGGGAAAAAAATCAAATGTTTCTGGAAAATTGCAGATTGTAAGGTGTTAACCTTGCTTTTTGAATAAGATTGGGAAAAATTAGATGTTCATGAAAAAAAATCAAATTGTAAGGGGTTAACCTTGCATTTTTAAGCAAAATATGACACAATCAGATGATTCTGGTGAAATTGCAGATTGTTAGGGCTTAACCTTGTATTTCTAGCAAAATTGGGCAAAAAGAAATGTTTATGAAAAATTTTAAATTGTAAGAGGTGTACCTTGTATATTTAGTAAAATTTGGCAAAATCAGATTTGTATGAAAAATCTAAAATGGTAAGGGGTTAACCTTGCTTTTTTAGCAAAATTTGGAGCATATTTTAATAAAATTGGGCAAAATCAAATGCTTCTAAAAAAATCCAGATGTAAAGTTTCCGCAAAAACAGCTGCTGAAAAAGAGCCCAATGTTGAACTTTACTGAGTCTGAGGTCTATCGAGGGGACGATCCTTATTTCAACTTCCGGAGATTCGCTGACGGTCTCTATTTTTCTTTTTAAGAAAGTCGAAATAGCTGAAGAGGGAGGTGAGAATCTATATGTGCCCAGATACAAAGAGTAGAAATCTACGCGTCTGCCTTTTGAAAATACACAATTGCGGTGTTCATTGTTGCGTAATGATCCGCCTAGCACACGACTGTTTTGCACATTAGGCTGTGTTATGCAGCTTCCTAAACAAACCAAACACACTGGGCTCATTATATCGACTTGTTTGTACCCATTAAGGTAAAGCAAATGGACCCAGTAATCTTCCTGGCGCGTTTGCTCACATATAAAGACAACTTTTCTCAGTTTAAGGAAAATTCTAAGGTAACGAAATGGCCGAGTGGTTACGATTCGTCGTCCACGGTTAGCGGGGTCCCGGGTTCGAATCCCGCTGGTGTCTTTTTGGTTTTTAACGTATGAGTTCAATTATTCACTATAAGAGATTTAATTTCCCGTCGTAAAGTACCAACAGTACCTTAGCTTAATTGGTAAGCACTGCTGCTGGTACTGTCCGCGAGTTCCAGGTTGGCGCCTTCGTACAGGATCAGGGCATGTGGTCCACTCGGAGGATCAGGGCTTAGGGGCCGCCCTGTTCCTCCCTTAGCTCTTTGCTTTTACATGGTGCCTGGCCCTCCGGGGTTATATGGATGGATAGGGAAGGAAGTGTGTATTGGTCGGGGACGCCGAGACCCCGGAAGAGAACTAAGGGATCGGCTGGGGCATTGTTATGGCTCAGACCGATCCCTGAAAGCTTGACTAGCACATAACTTTTTGATTTTTTTTACCCTCTATCTTTTATACTTTGATTTAGTTTGATATCTACAGCTGCTCGGCAGGTCTACGGGTAGTATCAAAATTGAAACAAAGGTGTATGTTTATAATCAATGAATATTTCATAATTGACTATCATTATTTAATGACGCGATTGCCAATTTACGTAAGAAACGCTATAAATTATACCGGGAAAGAATACAGATGTACATTGTAATATAAATATTATTTACACATCTTTCAAATAACGTGTCTTTAATTGTGAGCATTCCAAACAATACAGTTTTTGGCAATAGTAATAGTATGG